TTCAATCCAGGAAACTTTGAGATAATGCACTTGGGAATGATGAACAAAGCAGGGGAATGCATGATGAATGATCAGATCCCGGGAAACACAAGGAATCAGACGGACCGTGGACTGCATATCCCTCAGTCACTTAAAGTAGCAGGACAGACAGGTAAAGTGGTTACAGAGACCTTTATTAGCCAAGGCACAGAGTTTAAGAGCAGGGAGGCACTGCTGGAACTGTATTAAAAGGTTGGTTAGGCCACAGCAAGAGTATTGTGTGCAATTCTGGAATCCACATCGTAGGACGGATGTGATTGAACTGGGGAGGGGGCAGAGGTGATTTCCCCGGATGGTGCTGGAGCTAGAAAGTTTCAGTTATGAAAAGAAATTGGATTGAATGGGAAGCAAAAACAGAAATTGCTGGAAAAACTCAGCAGGTCCGGAGAGAAAGCAGAATTAACATTACAGGTCCAGTGACCCTTCTTCAGGACTTCAGAGACTGAGGGGGAACATGACTGAGATGTATAAAACTATGAAGGGCATAAACAGGGTAGACAGGAAGAAACTTTTCCCCTTGATGGATGGATACAAGGACCAGGGGCAGGTAAGGGGCAGGAGGTGTAGAGAGCATGTGAGGAAAAACATTTCACCCAGAGGGTGGTGGGCATCTGAGACACACTGCCTATGAGGGTGGGAGAGGCAGAAACCCCCATCACATTGAAGAAGTGATGCCAAGGAATATAAGGGTACGGGCCAAGTGCTGGGAAATAGAATTTAAATAGTTAGGTGGTTGCTTTTGATAGACAAGACGGGCTGAAAGACCTTCTTCTGTGCTGTATATCTCTATGACACCCTCTATCCAGAGGACACACCCCCCAATCCAGAGGATAGCACCACCTCCCCCCCCAATTCAGAGGACACATTCCCCCCTAGAGGACACCTCTCCCCTCCCCACCCCCCAATTGACAGGATCCCCCAACCTCTGGTCAAACCTTGTTGGAGTGTTCCTCATCCAGCAGCATGCTCAGGTGATGCTCATAGCCCTTCAGGCCTCGGCGATGGTAAGCTGAAGTCAGCGTATGGCTCCCACCACAGCTTCGAGCATTTGGTGGAAAGTTCTCCATCAGCTCAGAAATCCGTTCTCTGGGAAAGAGGGAAACAGATGACAAGGAAGGTCCTATAGAATCACACGATTTTAAAATGTCCCAAAACGTGATCTGATTACCAGCCACATCATTAATCCCAACTGCTTGGGGTCTTAATGACTGAAGGATATTCCTGAGCCCCTTCCAATCACACTTTGCTCGGCACCTGCTCCTGGAACAAGTCACCCAAATCACTTGCAATGGTGTTTCCAAACTCCAAACAGACCACCCTCGGACCCTCCCTCATCACAATAACTCAGCGAGTGTTCACTCACTGATGCAGTCTCTCACCACAGCCCCTGAAAACTTTGTTTGCAGCAACTTCTTTATGGCATTCTCTGACCTGGCCCAGTCTTCATTTTGTGAGGGTGGTGATGTGAGCACTATTGGGTTCAGCCAGCGTTCCTGCTGCCCTCTGCCAACGTTCCAATCCAAATTTCCCGTCAACAAAGTCTACTCCCAGATCTTTTGCTGTCAATCCCAAGTATAAAACCTCGTGTTCCCTCTTCACTCATACCATTGCAGAGTGTGAACATGGGCCCCTGTGAAACACAAAGGCAGACACCACCCCCTCATCCCCATCAGTGCTTCTGTACACACCCACATTCCTCTTGCCCTACCAATCCACACTAAACTAACGCCCCACCTTTACCATCTCCATCTGGGGAGCAGTGCTGGACTGGTACTATCACTGGGCTGGTAATACAGAACTCCAAACTGATGTTCTGGGGACATGGGTTCAAATCCCACCAATGACAGATGGTTTAATTAGAATTCAATAAATAATCTAGAAATAAAACCTGGTCTAATGGTGTCCGTTATCAGTTGTTGTGGAAACATATGGTTCAAATCTAACATGCTTTCCTGGTCTGGCCTACAAGTGACACCAGACCCACAGCAATGTGGTTGATTCTGAACTGGCTGAGCAAATTGCTCAGTTTACGGGAAGATTAGGGATGGACAATAACTGCTGTCCCAGCCAATCACTCACATTCCACAAACAAATAAAAATTTCCCAGAATCTTGTCCCTTTTCTGAAATGCATGGCCATACCTCATATTGCTTTCAGTCTGAACTCTCCCTCAACTCACCCGAAATGGAGAATAATAATCCCCTTTGACTGTGACAGTGGTGAATTCTCCCTCTTTGACCTCTTGGCATCCAGTGACTATTCTTTATCTCTCAAGCAGAAGCTTCTCCTGCAGCTTACCAGGATGTTGCCTGGTATGGAGGGAAGGTCTTACGAGGAAAGGCTGAGGGACTTGAGGCTGTTTTCGTTAGAGAGAAAAGGTTAAGAGGTGACTTGATAGAGACATACAAGATGATCAGAGGATTAGATAGGGTGGACAGTGGGAGCCTTTTTCCTCGGATGGTGATGGCTAGCACGCGGGGACATAGCTTTAAATTGAGTGGTGATAGATATAGGACAGATGTCAGAGGTAGGTTCTTTACTCAGAGAGTAGTAAGGGCGTGGAATGCCCTGCCTGCAAAAATAGTAGACTCGCCCACTTTAAGGGCATTTAAATGGTCATTGGATAAACATATGGATGATAACGGAATAGTGTAGGTTAGATGGGCTTCAGATTGGTTTCACAGGTTGGCACAACATCGAGGGCCAAAGGGCCTGTACTGCTCTGTAATGTTCTATGTTCTAGCTTCATCCTGTTACCAATGCAGCTCCACAGATCTATCCTCAAGTCCCCAACCCACTTTTTGCTGTCCCAGGTTAACATCTCAATGTACACTGATAACAACCAGCTATCCCTCCTCCATCTTCCTCTCTCCCCTCCAACCTCTCTTCCCCCTCCTCCACCTCTCTCCCCCCCCCCACTTCCTCCTCAATGGTCAATGTTCATCTTGGATGAGTCCGCCCAATGAAAGATCAAAACTATCTTTGATTCCTGCTCGAAACACCCTGTTCCAGTTCCTTTCCCGATCACTGTCTCATGGAGAATCAGCCCATTCACAGTCTCAGTGTTGGACTGAATCCTGAGCTCCACTCCCATCCTCATGGCTTGTCTATCACTATAATGACCTCTACCTTGAGCATTACTCACCTGTCCACATCCAGAATTCCTTCAAATCTCTTGATTTCCCCCAATCTCAAATCTAAAAGGACTCCTCATCTCTCCAGAAAGCTGGCTATTCACCAGAACCTCTACAAGCATCTGGATTCCCAAATGGTACCAGATACCTCCATAACCCCAGAGCCCCAGATCCCCGGACTCTATATCCCTCAGTGGGCCCAGGGATTGAAGCTAGGTCAAGTATTGAATCTGAGATCTTCTCCAGTTCCCACTGTATCCTAACCTAAATGTGGCTGTATTTCCTTCAGGTCCAGAAATCCCCCAGCCCCACCACTCCTCTCTCTATTTATTTCTGAGCTCCCCTCTACCTCCTCATTTCTGAAGGAGGGTCCTGACCCAAAATGCCAACTTTCCTGTTCCTCTGATGCTGCCTGGCCTGCTGTGTTCGTCCAGATCCACACTGCATTCTCTTTGACACAAGGTATGATGGGTTTGAGGCTTTGTGTCTATTTCTTGATGTACCCAACAAACACATTATGCTAGTTTCTCAAAGATTTCTTCATCTGCACCTTTACCATGGATTGGCCACCTTGTGTTTGGGAACTTTTGACAATGATTGATTTTCTGGGGAGAGATAGAGGTCAGTCCTGAAAATTCCAGTTTTGCCAGGGCTCCTTGATGCCTCACTCGGTTGAATGCAGCAGTGATGTGAATGTCTGTCATTCTCACCTCACCTCTGGAATTCAGCTCTTTTGTCCATGTTTGAACCAAGGCTGTAATGAGGTCAGGAGCTGAGTGGCCCTGGCGGAACCCAAACTGGGTGTCGCTGAGCAGGTTATTGCTGAGCAGGTGCTGTTTGATAGCACTGTTACTGACACCTTTCATCACTTTACTGATGGTCGAGAGGAGACCGATGGGGCGGGAATTGGCCGGGTTGGATTTGTCCTGCTTTTTATGTACAGGACATACATGGGCAATTTTCCACTTTGTCAGGTACAATTCCATGAGTATGACTATTTCTGGTGACTGCTTGACTAGTGAGGAGCTCTCGCAATCTTGGCAGAAGGTCCCAGATGTTAGTCAGGGGGATTTTGCAGGGTTGATAATTTCTGGTGCCCAGGTCAATGCCAAGTGGATTTGTCTGTTGTTAGTGATTTGAAAGAAGCGGGCAGTTAAGAGTCAACCCTGTGTTGTGGGTCTGGAGTCACATGTAGGTTAGACCAGGTAAGGACAGCAGTTTCCTTTCCCAAAGGGCATTGGTGAACCAGATGGGTTTCATTGTCATCATTATACATTTAATTCAAAATGTTTTGAATCTGAATCCAAACCATATTTGCCACGATGCAGTTCAACCGCAGGTCCCTACAGCATTACCTGGGAGCCTCTGAATGACTAATCACGTGACAGTACCTCTATAGCAGACCATTTCAGACTGACATGAGGAGGAATTTCTTCACTCAGAGGGTAGTAGGTTTTGCAATTCTCTGCTCCAAAGGACTGTGGGAGCTCAATCATTGAGCAGTTTCAAGACTGAGATTGATTGGTTTCTCAATATGGGTGACTTTAAGGACATGGGCGTGGCCCAGGAAGATAGAGTTGAACTAGATGATTAGCCATAATCTAGAATGGCAGAGGAGGATGGGCATCTGATGACACCCCAGTGTTCCTGTTACCCCAAACAGGTTACTTTTATTCTCTTAAAGTGTATTGGTGCCATTGACAAGGTCCATTCTCTAATTGCTCTTGAACTGAGGGGCTTGCTCAGCGATATCAGAGGACAGTTAGGGTCAACCACACTGCCGCAAGTTTGGAGTCACATGTCAACCAGACCAGGTTTCCTTCCTGAAAGGACATTCGGTAAGGGCCCTGTGGGTTTTCAGACAATTACTGAGAGTCTCACGGATGATGAGTCCAATGTCATTTCCATTTCATAACTGTGTCCCTGAAATCTTATCTTGTGGAGTAACTTTTGGTGCGTCACCTTATGAAATGCCTTTTGGAAAATCCAAATGCACCATGTACACAGGTTCTCCATTATTCAAATTGCTTGGTACTTCCACTAAAAACTCTAATCAATCAGTTCTGCACAATTTCTCTTTCACAAATCATGTTGCCTCTGCTGTATTCCATTATGACAATGTAAGTTCTGCCATAACCTCCTTAATAATGGATTCTAGCAGACATTAGGTTAACAGACCAATAACTTCCCACTTCTATCCTCTCTTAAATAACTGTTACATTTGTTATTTTCCAATCCACTGGGACCATTGCAGAATCAAGCCATTTTGGAGAATTATAAAGATTCATTCTACTATTTCTGTAGCCACTTGGTTTAAGACCCTTGAATGCAAGCTGTCTGGTTCTAGAGATTTGTCAGCCTTTAGGCCTCATACTTTCCCAGCACCTCTTCCTTGGTGATGGTGATTATTTAAAGCCCCTCACTGTTGTTTTGCTCTTGATTTTCAAACAACTTTGGGAAATCGTCAAAGTTCTCTGCAGTGAGGATAGACCCAGATTTTAAAGCTTCCAATTTTTCTCACTTTCTACTGTCAATTCCCTACAGTTCCTCTCTGGAGGACCAACCCTAGCTTTAGTTGCTTTTTTTTCCCCTGTTCAAATAATTGCAGAAATTCTTACTATTTATTTTGAATTACTAAATAGCTTTTTCTCAAATGCTCTTTTAAAATTATTCAAATAACATGTTGGTCAACTCCAATATTGCTAAAAAACATATTCTGTCAAAGCTTTACATCTTGCAGTTGTCAGGAATTTCACAATAATTCAACTTCAAAAATAAAAAAAAGCATTTTTATTGCATGAGAAGAGACTGCAGATTGGTCGGAAAATTGACTCTGATTGTCCATGGCCCAATGCCTCTACCAATGCACCCTCTACTGATGATTGAGAGTTAACTGCCAGACTTTGTTTAGATGTCAAATCAGGCAGGTTGACTCCGATTGGTCAGGGCATTCATCTGAGAAATGAACAAGTTGAAACTGGTGCAACATCTTGAGTTGGTTTCTTATGAAATATGTTCCCAACACAGGAGATGGAGCACATGTACAGATGACCGTGATGTCACACATTGGTAAAAAGGAAAAAGATCAGCTTCCTAAAATCCTTAAACATTGCAGAAAGCACTTACCTCATTTTCACCAGTATTTTCATCAGGCTGCTCTACTGTGCTGAAGCATTGCTTGTTAGAAGGAACTCTTTGGGAATACCCTCAAAACATTTCAGTTACTTGTAGCATTGCTCTAAACATATATTTAATGAAGTCTAAATTCATAGTGATTTAACCCATTTGTTTCCAACAATAAGGAGACAGAAGGAGGTGATTAGATGACAGAAGTGTCGCCATTTAGCAGTGGAAGTGATTTGAAGACATCACTAATAGTTACAGGGAATCACCAAGTGCTGGCCCAGTTTTGTGTAGCTACACGTACTACTAACGCAGTCTCTTGATTCATGCTATTTCATCGAACATTACCAGATCTAGAGCAGAATCCCTGTCTGACTCTAGAATCTACTGTTTAAATATATTTTCCTGAAAACAGTCAATGAACTAATTATCCACGCTACCTTTTTCAATCTGATTCACCCAATCTACATATACATTAACTTTGCCATGACCATTGTGGTACCTGCCACCCCGAACCCCCTGTAAACTCTGAGCTAGACTGTACCTACTGTTAGTGGGCTTAGAAAGTGATCCTGCAAGAGCCCTCTTACATTTCTTACCTCTTATCTGTACCCAAACTTTTCACTCTCTCAAGTTAAGGCTATGTCACCTTGTACTTCCAATCACATCCTTAACTTTCAGAGCTCCCCACCATATTCTCCGAGCTTCCTATCTTTTAAACTGTTCAACATGATTCAATATTTAGGCTTGGTTATCATATATGTAGTGGCTTAACACATTTATTTATTTTGAAAATGCAGATGTTGGAAATCAGAAACAAAACGAGGAAGTGCTGCAAAAACTCAGCAGGTCTGGCAGCATCTGTAGACAGAAAGCAGAGTCAACATTTTGGGTCTAGTGACTCTTCTTTAGAACTGATTATAGCCAGGAAAAGGTAGGTATATATGCTGAAGATGCATGGGAGGAGGGGGGGAGATATAAATGATAGGTGAAGATGGAGTTCAGAGAGAAAGAAAAACAGTTGGGCAGACAAAGTAATGGGTAAAGTTCAGCCTGGCACAATGCTTATGGGAGCTGTTAGTGGCTGATAATGGGTTGCTTGTGGCAGCAGCTGATGTGATGACAAGGCCGAGTGTGTGAGGGTGTGTGAGGCTTGGGGTAAGGACATAGGGGAAGGTGTTCTAAGGTGAGCTGGGAAAGATTTAAAAGGGTCCTAAGGGGCAACTTTTTCACGCAGAGGGTGGTGCGCATATGGAATGAGCTGCCAGAGGAAATGGTAGAGGCTGGTATAATTACAACATCTGGATGGGTATATGACTTGGAAGGGTTTAGAGGTATATGAGCCAAATGCTAGCAAATGGGACTAGATTAATTTAGGATATCTGGTCAGCATGGAAGGGTCTGTTTCTATGCTGTATACCTCTATTTATTAATATCTGGGCTAACACTTTATCTATTTGTTACAAACACTGGGTTACAGATACATAACCCAAAGGTTCTGTCTTCATATTGTTTTGCAATCTGGCCTGATCAATTGATGCACTATTAAGGCTGTATGCACTGTCACACTCAGGTTATCATTACCCAAGTTATTACCCTGCTCTTCATCTCACTGTTTCCCTTTGACTTACCATACCTTGTCTTACTTGATCCCTTCCCTCCACTGTTTAGGTTAAAGACCTTTCCAAGATCCTAGTTATATGACTCGTTCAATCACTGTTTACCACATGGTTCAGGTGGGGCCTGTTGCTAATGATACAGCTCCCTCTTTCCTCAGCTCTGGTACCAATCTCCCATGAATTAAAACCAATTCCTCTCTCATCAATCTGTGAGCCATGCAGTTACCTTTCTGATTTTATGTATCCTCCTTCAATTTGCAAATGGCTTGGTTAATAATCTAGAGGTTCTGCTTTTTAAGTGAATTCCTAGCCATCATAATCTGTAAGCAAAACCTCTTTTCTAATCCTGTCAATGTATCTACATGGATCGCGACCACTGAATTCTCCCCCTCCTGCTGTCGGTTCCTCTCCAGCTGTGAGGAGAGATCCCAACGTCTGGCCCTGGGCAGTATACACAGCTGCCTCGACTCTCACTCTCAGCTTCGGAGAACGTTGTCTCACCCCGTCAGTTCTGTCCCTACTACCACAACATTCCTACTAACTGCCCCCATGCGGATAGCTGTCTGTGCCTTGGACAGTTTCTTCATCCCCCCCACCACTCCACTGTGTCTCTGTCCACACCACCTTCTCCATATTAATCTGTCCCTCCCTTTCACTATTTCTCAGCCCTCCTCATACTCACGATTTGATGAGACTCTCATACATTTTGCGAGGAGCTGGTCTTGCTATTGGACAGCCCATATGAAGCAGGGGCCTCATAAATGGACTCACTGCCTTGACTGATCCCTTAATGTGGGTCTGCAAACTCTCTATCTGCCTGCACAGGCTCAGGTGCAGGCGCTGCATGCTGCTTATATTCCGATCATGTAGTGCATGGGACTGTACTCTGTTAACAGGGAAACACGGTGTTAACATTGCTGCAAAATTCTAACAAGAAAAAACATGGAGAATGAATGCAACAGCTTGTACCAGTGTTCTTCTGAGATCACAGCTCCCATTCTATGGTAGCTTTATTTTTAATTCATTTCCCTGTCTCTAGTTGCCCAGGAGGAGGCGGTAGTGAGATGCCTTCATGAAATAGTGCAGCCCCTTAGCCACAAAGCCATGGAGTTCCATGGCTGTAAAGTGTGCGTCTGTTGGTTGTGTGATCTGGGAGATGAGAAACTGCTGTTGCTTCTCCATACTTCAACATTCCCTCTCAGTTTTCAAAGCTGCATTCACAGGATGGAAAGCAGTGAGCTCTGAGGTCTTTACACCCCAATGCTGACAGTTCATAAATTTGTGTGAAAATGATGTTATGTTACAGCCCTAATCTGGCCAGTTACAGGTTAATGCTGCAGATCTCGAGATGAGGTAGAATCTAACTGGTTGCTGATTTCAGCAATGTCCTGTCTGTGTGGACCCTGTATCTGTACATTCACTTCCTCACAGACTGCCCTGTGTGACAGCCCCGTCATTGGTACGTGATGCCATCTGTTGGCAGTAAGGTCCGGGCCTGGTCACTCACAGCCATCCACCCAAACCAATCACATTCCAGGGGCACAGAAACCAGCTGAACAGCAGCCGTTGATAAATATGAAACAAAGAGAGGGAATGTCAGAACATGGACACACTGAGAAGGATCGCTTACCCTCGATTCCTCCATCGTGAATGATCAACATCCTGCCAGTGGGAACGGTGATAACCGTGAACAGGATAGGTCGGTATTGGAAATGAGATTACATTCCTGCAGAGAACAGTAAACAGTCAGAACCCTAACAAGCAGGGAATACACCATTCAGCCCATTCAATCTGCTGTCCCACTCAGAACAATCGAAACTCAACTTGGGTTTCAACTCCAATTTTCCTGAACGTAGCCCCCAGATCCGGGGATTCTCTCAGATAGCAGAATCTGACTCTGCCAGCCTTAAACACGTTCCATCAGGGGGCACACATAACCCTCTGGGATAGAGAATTCAAACATTCACAATCTTCGAGTGAATTCATACAATTGGGCCTTGCCGGTGTTTTGGATTCTCCAACCAGGAAATACAATCTATCATCTTCATCTTACCAGCGCCAAATCACAGAACTCTGATAGTGCTGACAGAGGCCATTCAGCCCATCATGTCTGCACTATCCCTGTGAATGTGCAATAGGAATTATTGCTACTCTCCTGCCTTTTCTCCAACCCACATTGTATTTATTTAAACAATCATCTCGCACTCCTTTTAAATTTCTCAGCTGAACCTGCCTCCACCACATTTCCAGGCAGTGCGTTCCACACCTGAACCACTTGCAAGTGAAAAAGAATTGTCTCCTATCATACTAATCCCTGTTCAAAATTATTTTATATCTGGTTTCACTCCCTCACAATCCTTTAATGAGAGGGAACATTTATCTCTATAGATTCTGGGCAGCGCCATGATGCTCTCCAAAACTATCAGAATGGCTCTCAGCCTTCTTTCCAAGGAAAATAATCATAATTCCTACAGTCTGTTCTCATCCCCGGGTTATTCTCACTCACTGTTTCTGCACTAACTCCAATGCATTCACATTCTCACAGGGGTATGATTCCCAGACTGTACACAGCCCCTCAGCTGAGGTCTAAATGTGTCTTATATACAATCTCCTTGTTCCTGCCACACTGGCGGAGGGTCAGTGCTGAGGGAGCGCCGCACTGTCGGAGGGTCAGTGCTGAGGGAGTGCCACACTGTCAGAGGGTCAGTACTGAGGGAGTGCCACACTGTCGGAGGGTCAGTGCTGAGGGACAGGGCACTGTTGGAGGGTCAGTGCTGAGGGAGCGCCGCACTGTCGGAGGGTCAGTGCTGAGGGAGTGCCGCACTGTTGGAGGGTCAGTGCTGAGGGAGCACCGCACTGTCGGAGGGTCAGTACTGAGGGAGTGTGCACTGTCAGAGGGTCAGTACTGAGGGAGTGGGCACTGTTGGAGGGTCAGTGCTGAGGGAGTGGGCACTGTCGGAGGGTCAGTGCTGATGGAGTCTCATTTGGATGAGGGTTTAAGCTAAGTCACTCTGCTTCCTCAGCTGGTGGTAAATGATCCAAAGGCAGTGTTTTGAAGAAGGGTGGGTGCTTCTCTCTCACAGTCATCAGTAAACATTAATTTGTTGCTTCTTGCAGGCCTTTGCTGTGAAGTGTTTGCTACCTTTCCAAATTACAACATTAACTCATCTTGAAGAGACTACTTCACTGGTTTGAATGTGCTTTGGGATATTCTTCGTTTATGAAATGAACCATAGAAATGCAAGTTCCTTTTCCTTTTTCTGAAATGTCTATTAAAATTCTGCACTGACATCCATTGACTTTAACATTTCCGTCTTCCTGAAACAATCCACCTGATTGAGCTGAGCCGAATCATTCCTGATCTGTGGAGATCCACTTGGGATCCACCCAGAGGGTCGTGCGCCTTAGGAGCTGGGAAGCGGATACTTACGGGGCAGAGGTCATTTTGATATCCAATGGTCGGTCACAGGAGAGGCAGTGGAAATGGCTGATGAGCTGTCTACCAATAGGAAGAGACTGTCAGTGATATATCATTCCATTCGGCTTCAAACACTGAAGCAGGAAACAATTACATTTCCAACTCACGTCTGACAAAAAGGTCACAGTCCTAGAGAGGTCAAACCCCGATTCTCTGCACAGGGTAATGTCTGGCCTGATAGGTATCTCCTGTTTTAATTAGTTAAAAGGTTATTCTCACTCACGGATTAGTAAGGGTCAATGCGAGGTTAAGAAATATCAGATATTAAATCTGGTGACGGCATTGACATCACGAAAGAGAATTGTAATCCACATGCTAATCTCCACAATGTATACTGAAGTGCAGCTGTGTTACACTGGGTAAAAATGGGAAATGTTGAAGCTAAGAAGCTAAAAGGGTTGATAGAAGTAGTTTAGCCGCTGAAACACTGAGAAACATGGGGGCAGCAAGAATGGGACTGTCAAATATTTGAACTGAGATTCTACACAAGAGGTGTACTGAAGACAATAAAGACACTGAATATTATGTAGATAATACCCCCCAAGGTACAAATGTACAATATAAAAATAAACTGAATGTGTAAAGGCTAGGGACTGATCTTGATCCTTCAGAACAAATGCAAGAAAGAAAGAGAAACCTGTCAAATTAAATGGATGGATACAGTCATCAATTGTCTGACTGTCTTCCAAAACAAAATACACCTAAACATTTAGGGGTCCTAAAGGAGGGGCTGTCTTACTGTGTAATCGTTTATACACAATATAAAGGTTTTTGATTTTGTAATTTGGAAATCTTAGTCGTCCTGCATATAAATTCTAATCTTTACTAAGACAGAAAGAATCTGTTACTTGATTGGCTTTCACTGGAGCCTCTATAAAATGAAAATTGTGATTTTTGGGTTACTTTGCAATATGTAATTCTCCCAATTAATATAAAAATGTGTAAATACTGACTCCAGTTCTGCCCTTCACAAACCAGTTTTCTGTGATTGTGGATAAAAACCAAAAGAACTGCGGATGCTGTAAATCAGGAACAAAAACAAAGTTGCTGGAAAAGCTCAGCAGATCTAGCAGCATCTGTGAAGGAGAAAACAGAGTTAAC